GAAATTGATTCAGCTTCTGCCAGGTTAGTCCTTAGGTTTTCTTATGTTGATTCAGGAACAAGGAAAAAGAATGTTTTTCGGTAAGGCTATGAAATCAGCTTAATAAAGAGTGTTGTAAAGAGAGATCCAAAAGAATAACAATGGCATATAAGAGAAGCTTGATTAGAAAAAAATAAGGAGATAAAGGAAGATAATTTTAAGACGGGTGAAAAGTCTCATTTGGAGACTTTTAAAGGGTCTGAGCAAATATCAGAAATGCTTTCCATAGTATATTTGTGTACAAACCATGTAAAGTGAACCTAACTGGATATGCTCTAAGGTTTTCTTCAGTTCTAATAGTTCTTTATTTTATTCTAAAGGCAATCAAAGTTCTGCCACATTGGGACCCTAAATATTTTGATTTGCATCTGCTTGTCAAATATTATATTTGATCTGGAAGATTCTAAATAGTACAACAGAAGTAATCTTAACAAGCATGCTTTGATACCTGAATGAAAATGTGTACTGAACAAGAAAAAACAAACAGATTTGGTCTTAGTATGTCAGTTTCATGATTAATTTCTGTTTGAGTCCTTTAATGGCAAATAGGTTGCCTGTGAGGCATGAAAAAAGCAAATCTTTAAGGTCACCCGGGTAATATTGGATCTACAGATCCTTTCTAGTGTGGCCCATCTGACCCATGTTCTGATATTGTCGCATTGGGTGAAACATCTTTCCTAATGTGCTGTTTGTTCTCTTTGTTCTCATTAATAAAAAAAGGTTTATCCAATACATTAATCACTGAACACAAATGATACCCACCAGCAATGAGAAACTATTTGTGATCTCAATAAAATGTGCTTATTATTAATGGTGTTTTGCTGGTTATTGTAATTAGGCATGTGTGAAATTTTCAAAAGTGACTTACGATTAATTTCACAGATAGCAAACACTCCTGTCCTTTTTTATAAATGAGGTGAGTCTAAGATTTATAGATGTTGAGTAACTTCAACTTCACAAAAGATGGCAACAAAAGGAACAGATATCACTGACTATTCTAGCTGTTAGATTTTTCTACAGGATCAAAACGTGCTTTACCAAACAAAACAGCTATCATAAAAGATACTTCACCCAAATCCTGCCCCAGCACATCAAACTACCCAACATATCTCATTCAAGGAGTGTTAAAATTTTCTGCTAAGAAAAACTTGCTTCACAGGAACAGTCAGGAGCTATCGTCTGAAGCAAGCAAGCAATTTCTTTTAAAAACTCATGCTTTCTCTTTTAAGTTAATGCAGATTTTGTATTATGGCCTACAGCTTTTCATGTTTCTTTCAATATAATATAATGTGTAAAATTGTTCACCATAAAGGTGATATACCTTGATTATCCAATAGTCCATCAATAAATAGATAAAAATGTGAGATATATATATCTAATATATTTACACACACAAACATATATATATATCAACTATATATATCAAAATCATACATTTCATGGGTGAAAGAAAAGATTAAGAAAAATTTCTATAGATTTGATCATTTTAACTGAATACCATAATCCAGACCAGCAGAAAGATAGATTAGCATTCACGCAAAGCCACTGACTTCTCTGAATATATACACAGTTAATAGACTATTATTCAACCATAAGAAAGAATTAAATTCTACCATTTGCAACAACCTAGATTAATCTTTAAGGCATTATGATAAGTGAAACAAGTCAGAGAGAGAAAAACATACTGTATGATCTCAGTTACATGTGGAATCTAAAAGAAGAAAAAATACTCACAGAAACTATAAGAGGTGTGGGATTAGAGGTGGGGAAAATGGGTAAAGCTGATCAAAAGGTACATCTCCCAGTTATAAAATAAATGATAAATTGTGGAGATGTAATGTACATCATGGTTACTTTAGTTAAAAATGCTGTATTGTGTATTTGAAAATTGCTATAAGAGAAAATTGCTTATAAGAGAAAATTGTTAAAGTTTCTCATCACAGGAAAAACTATATAACTATGCTATGTGAGGTGATGAATATTCACTAATCCTAGTGTAGTAATTATTTTATAATATACTAGAGGCCCAGTGCACGAATTAGTGCATGAGTAGTATCCAGCCAGGATACTCATTCTCTGTTCCCATATTGTATCAAAACCAAAGCACTAAGTAAATAGAAATAAAACTAGATGAAATCAATTTAATCTCAACAGGATGAGAAAAGAAACATTTAATTAAATAAAATTTAATTCAGATAAGAACTGACAATACCATACAAATAATATTTTCTTCTTATTAAAATATTTAAGTAAAATAAATTAAGAATAGGCCAAATGAATTAATTAAAGCCATTTTAAACAGAACAATTCTATATAATTTAAACTAGACACACTATCTTACACAATCTTTATAAAATCATTTTATATAAAGTAACCAATTGCTGTGTTTCTCTCACATCAATATTTATCTCTGTCTTTCCTTCTCTTTTCCACTCTAAAAAAATCAATGGAAAAATATCCTCAGGTGAGGATTAAAAAATGAAAAAATAACTACAAAGATCATGGCGTATACTAATTGCACATGTTTTATCCACTTAAAACACATATTCATGAGAAACTATATTGAGGTAAATCTCATTTATATTCAAATCAAGTCACTTGCACACTTGGCCAATTAATAGATTATCAATAATAAACTAAAACCAAATGAATGCATTGTATTTTATTGTTAACAAAGGCATACGATCTTTGATGCATTAAGAACTTAAGCCTGAGCCAGGCTCTTAGAAACAGAACAAGAACTGACAATGCCTTAAAAACTTTGTGCTTAAACTTTGCAATTGGGAACTTTCATCCCACAACCTTCACAGTAACCTACTTCTGGAAGAACTGAGATACTGGAAAAGGAAATACGGTGGAAGAGTTAATGTCGTTATTGGGGCAGGAAAGAGGTTGAGAGAAAAAACTAGCACACAACAAATATGCAAGAAATCTAGTTTCTCAAAAACTATGCAGATCCATATAGGGAACTGATGCAAGTTATATTCTTACATTTTTAGGGTTTTTATACTACATCCTTCTAACTACTTACCAGGATTTTTTTTTTTTTTTTTTGTAATTCAAGAAGCTGGACCATGTTAATTTACAGCTATGGGAACTAATGGTTTGTGGGCAGGGAGCCCGGCAGGTCATTACCACCAGGGTTGGTAACTAGATCTGTAATAAAAGAAAAACATTTTCCAACAAATTTGAATTTTTAAAGGTGTTTGTACTTGGACTTGACAGCCCTATCTAAAATTTGCTGAAAGTTATACTGCATATATAAAGTTAATAAAATTATCTAGGTTTCAGGTATACAATTCTATTGTATATTTTATTGTGTGTTCACTACCCCAAGTCAAGTTGCTTTCCATCACCATTTACTAGTATCTCCCTTTAACCCTCTTCTACCTCTTCCTACCCCCTTCCCTCTGGCAATCACTATAAACCTATTTCTTAATTCAGATAGAAACATTTTAACAAACTAAATGTATAAGCACTCAGGGATATCTTTGTGATGTTCAGACAATTTCAACACAAATGCACTCGTATAGGCACATACACTCTGGCACCCAGAAAATTGTAGTTAATAACCTGTATTGCATTTTCAGATATGGTTGTTTTAGTCAATCCAGACACTTTTATCAACCAAACATTTTCAGAGCTCATTAACACATCACTGTATATATCATTACGATTTCACTTGGAGCAGCATTTTCTTGTTGATTGCAGGGTGGAGAATAGTTCCCTTTGGTGCTTTTCTCTCTCATCTGGAGCAAAGAAGCTAACTGCTGTGACCACTTATGAGAAAAACTTGGCACGTGGAAGGCCCCAGATGGAGATTGTTCCAATGTGTTTCCAGAGGCAGCAACTGTGTCTTTGACTTCGAAGCTGGCTCATCTAAAGGCCCCTTGAACTTCTCTAGTGTTGACACTTAGAACAGCTGTGGATCTCTTTGTTGGATTAAGTTCAAGTAACCTGCATTCACAACTGGATTACCTTCCTGTGTTTTATTGAGGAAAAGCTTATACATTCCTGAAATTCTGATCAACAGTTGATGAATAAATATGACAGTATATAATATAATCAGATTAATGGCCACAATATTAAAATTGTCATTCCCCCTCGACCCTTAAAAACAAACTCAAATGGCATGCTTTAGTGCACTGTCGAGCGTTAGTGATGTTTTTTGTGTTATAATCATTGGATTGGGAAATGTTAAAATTGGAATTTTGATTTTATAAACAGAAATTTTATAGCACATCTGCACCCATACTTGTTGATCCAGTGTAATGACTGAGTGATTTCTAAAATGTGGCTTGATTGTTGCAGTAGATGGTAACTCTGCAGTTTACACTTTAAGGGTTATTTCTTGGCAAGAAAGAATAAAATCTTCAATTGAAAATAAAACTATTATACACTTAAATGTCAACACCAGGCTCAATTGAAAGCACAAAGCAAAGGTTTGTTTTAATGATCCCTCAGTAATGAGCATAGTACATCTCTTCCGAGATGTGTAAGACTCGACAGCTCCAAATATCAATGCTTAGCTAAATGCACACCACAGAACTGATCATGAACAAATTTATGTCTGGGCTATCACTCTATATTTTATAGTTTGCTTTTAGCCTTGCATATGTAAGTATAAAGTAGGAGTGATCAAAAGCCAAATTTCAAAGTTTAACAAAGTCTTTCAGAGGGCCTGGAACTTTATTTCAACAACCTATGTTCTTTTATTTGATTGCTCATTCTTCAGAATGACTTTCATTCTAATTCTCTTCCTATTGCTAAGTTCTATTGTTTAGGGTGTCTGAACTGATAGCACAGTTCACACAAGGACTCGTATTTTCATCAGAATGGAATAACTTGCTAGTGCAGAGTTGGGCATTTGCAGCTTCAGCAATTTTTTCCTCCTCAAGATCAGAACCAGACACTTGTTCATCCATCCCTAACTCCTTGATTCGACGCAATGGATTTATATTCAATATTGTTTTCACTCACTTATTGCACCAGTTTTTATTATGTATGGCAAAGTTATGACATTTTTTATCAATCTGTTTTTCAATTAGCAATAATCGCACCTCGGATAAACCTCATTGGCTATGATACTGCCACTGTGCAAAATTATTTTATTAATCTTAAACACAACATAAATGACACTTATATTATGACATCAACTTTAACTCAATACTACAAATATTATTATTATTATAATAAATATATTTTATTGATTTCAGAGAGGAAGGGAGAGTGCGAGAGAGAAACATCAATGATGAGAGAGAATCATTGATTGGTTACCACCTGTACGCTCCACACTGGGGGTCTAGTCCGGAATCCAGGCATGTGCCCTGACCAGAATCGAACCATGACCTCTGGTTCATCAGTCAACACTCAACCACTGAGCGACACTGGCCAGGTATCAATACTACAATCATTATTAAATAGTGATTATTATTGAGAATAAAGAAAATTCACTTCTAGATAATGATTCGTGTTTAAAAAAACTGACTGCCTAGTATAGTCTGTGCTTTGAAATAAAAGAAAACATTAAAACATTCAAGAGGGCATGCAATGTGAATTGTGCCTTGAATAATGGAGAAGGGAATTAATAACTTTTATCTATAGTCTATCATATAAAACACATAAAAAGAATGTAAGGTAATTACTAGTGTTTTCATTTCCAAATGAGAAAGAACTGAGATTCAGAAACATTCAATTATGTACCAAAGAGAACACAAAGAGATTGAATTTTCATGTAATTTGTTCCTAACATTTTTTTTCTCTATTCTACCATATAAGATACTTATGATAAGCAAATGATCCTCCCAGAGAAACAGAATTGAACATTATGCAACTGGCCTAAGTTTACCTGAGTTCACTTATGATAATACAGTTGACCCTTGAACAACAGGCATTTAAATTATGCAGGTCCATTTATATGCATATTTCTTAAAAATAATTATATACAGGAGTGTAAATTTATTTTCTCTTCCTTATAACTTTCTAAATAACATTTCCTTTTTCTAGATTAATCTGTTATGAGAATGCAGTAATAAATACATATAACATGCAAAATATGTGTTGACTGTTTTTCATTGGTAAGGTTTCCAGTCAATAGTAGTAGTTGAATTTTGGGGGAGTCAAAAGTTATATGTGAATTTTTAACTGCACCCCTGTGTTTTTCAACTGTAAACTGTAATGAGCAAACTGTGATCTAAGTATATCAAGAGAATTTTCTAAGACATGCTCAAAGGATTAAATGTAGGTCTTTTGGTTCCTGGTTAGTTCAGTTCCCTCTCAACACCCTGTAGAATGACATCAGCAAAGCTATAGATAAGGGAATCTTTAGGGGAAAAAATAGATATATGCTAATAGCATTCACAACTCTATCCTAGGTGCCAATTATTAGGAATTCCTGAAGGTGGCTTTACAAATTAGAAGAAAGACATCATTAATATGAGACAAAGAAGAGAAAGTTGTGCCATTAGGTATATTGTGTGGGGAAAAACAGAGCCTAAAGAGTACTTCCTTTATTCAGCTGATCAGAGGAGCAATTACTATAGAGAAACCATGAAAAAGAGGCTGAAATATTAAAATATAGCAGGAGGAAGATGCATGAGACATGGATATTCTGAAGATCTGCTGAAGGAGTTCATCTAGAAGAGCCTCCATTTGCTGCCTGTTTATTCATTATGTCAACTATCCCTTATTTAGTGGTGACTTGTTACCTGCATTGCACCATAGGGAATACAAAGACTTAAAGGTATAGTCTCAGCTCTCAGAAGGAGTTTAGAATTGAGCTAGAGAAATATGCTGTAAACACCTCTAAACACAGGATACAGACTTGAAAAAAGATAACCATCTTGCTCAGAATATTTAGTGCTAATTTTATATAATGAAAATATTTCCAGTAAAAGTAATCCTATATAACAAAGATGTATTATGCAAATTGACCATCACACACCTCGCACAAAATGGCCATCCTCATGTGGTCACAAGATGACCACCACAAGATGGTCGGCAGGAGAGGGAAGTTGTGGGCAACCAGGCCAGCAGGGGAGGGCAGTTAAGGGTTACCAGACTGGCAGGGGAGGGCAGTTAGGGGTGACCGGGCCAGCAAGGGAGGGCAATTAGGAGCAACCAGGCTGGCAGGGGAGGGCAGTTAGGGGTGACTGGGTCAGCAAGTGAGGGCAGTTAGGGGCAACCAGGCCGGCAGGGGAGGGCAGTTGGGGGGGGGAACCAAGTCTGCAGGGGAGGGCAGTTGGGGGTGATCAGGCCAGCAGGGAAGTGGTTAGGGGGTGATCAGGCTGGCAGGCAGAAATGGTTAGGGGCAATCAGGCAAGCAGGCAGGTGAGCGGCTGGGAGCCAGCAGTTCTGGATTGTGAGAGGGATGTCTGACTGCCGGTTTGGGCCCGATCACACAGGGGTCCCAGTTTGGAGTGGGTACAGGCTGTGCTGAGGGACCTCCCCCAGTGCATGAATATCATGCACCTGACCTCTAGTATATTATATTTAAAAGAGCATACAATATAAGTTGAATACTTTTTTTTTATTTTTTCCTTCTGAAGAAAGCATATAAACTAACACATTTGCCAAACCTTGCATTCTGATTTTGAGTTTGGAATAATCTTCAATTGAATAATTTTTTTTTTTCAGTTTGGATTTTAATAGAATTCATTCTTTAAGATCAGCAACAACTATAATCAGATGTCTAAGGCCTAAATGCAGGTTTTTCTTTCATTCCATACCTGCCAAAGTCTTCACACTATGTAGTTCTACTCTATGTTTATTTTTGTCAGGACCTTTTTATTTCTCTAGGTGAGACCTAAAGATTGACAAGTTCTTTGCTTATTTTATTTTGTAGACAACTCTGTGGGGGAGAGATAGTGGTGAGGTGTCCAGACTCTACTGAATGACAACTTCATTCTATTTCCTGTCAAGGAGATTTGTATCACCTTTTTTTTTTCTTTTTTAATGGAGCTTATTTTTTGGAATCTGAGTCTGAAGTTTATTTGGAAGTAGCTAGCAATCACTTCCTTCTCATTTGACTATTGCCTCCCAGATTAATTATGAGAATGACCAAAATAATAAATCCTTCAGGGTGACAAGATATAAATATGATTGTATATTTTTTTAAAAAAAAGAGTGTTCTGACCATTCTAATTTAAAGATAAATATATGAGGAGTATGTAAGTGTAGTCAAACACAATCATGCAATATTTTCAATATTACTACTTAACTATCTGCTCATATTCTCTTTACAAGTTAACCTCAGGCTTATGTTTTATTTTATTTACTTATCTTGGATTCTATTCAATATTGTGCAGAGTCCGATCTTATTACTCTTTTAGCTACAACCACAAGTAGTTATTTACAGATTCTAGCCATGTTCTTTTTCTGGATGCCTAAACTTCTTGGATTATAGTAAAAAAAAATAAAGAAAAGAAGAAAACAAATAATAATAGATCAGGTAGAGTCATATTCAGTGCCCCCACTTCTGAATGAAATAGAGCACATTTAAATAAACAGCTTTGAGAATTTCATATACCACCTTGACACCAGGGACTGTCACATTGACATAGTGCATTCTCATTGAGATTCATTGCCATTCATTTTGAAAGAATGAAAGAATGACTAGAGTTGACTTACTGTAAATTTCAAGCTTCCCAAAAGCTTTCCAGGCAGTAATGCTTCACAAAGACAAATCGCCTGACAACCATTTTATTTTTATAAATAAACATTAAAAATTGAGTGATTGGAATAGAACATAATTTTAACATAATTATGAAGGCCAACTAGATATCATCATTTGGTTTATTATCCTGATATTTATATTAATAATTGTGACTTCCCACTAATAGAAAAGTTCAGCTTCTAAAAAAGTTTATGAGAGGAAAGTTATTTGAAATATTGGCACTCTTCCTTTTTTTGTTTTTGAGTTATAAAGCTTGAGATATTTATAGGTGTCTGATATGAATCCAGAAGCTATCCTGGAAACCTAGTGAAATCATAAAAATGGCAATATCAGGTGTCCTTAAAGTAAGGACAATTGTTGTTTGTGAATTTTAGGTTTATTGAATTTCCAGCATCTCAATGGAGTAAAACAGACTTGATTTGTTTTTATCACCTTGACATTTACTTTCAATCAACAGAAGACCAAGGGCCTAGTATCCAGCTTAGTGTTATTTGAGTCATTTAAATCAGATTTCAATCAATGTCTTGGAGGTATGGTATAAAATGTCAGCAACTGGGTCGAATTCAAGAATAAAGGCATCCTGACCTCACTTGAATATAAACAACTTCATGATAAGTACTTTGGAGGATTGAGTTAATTTCTTTTGAATGTCATCTTCAGTTAAAAAACACACCGATAAGGGTCTCTTCAGGATTCCAACCAGTAAGAGAAGGTTATGACTCTTACCATAGTTTAAAAGTCAAAGGAGGTGAAAGAATTGTCATGGGTGGAGGGAGCCTAAATTGCAGAAACACAGAATTTAAGAATTTTGCCAAAACTATTGCTCTATGCAATTTTATGACATCTCATTCCGCTTCAAAATAGTATTCAAAAGGCAAGCACTGTGTTCAATTTGGTAAATCTTTTCCTCCCATGTGTTTAGCATGATAATAGATAATTTCAGAGGTTAATAGTAGTTTTTTGTTTCTCTGATTCTAACTGGAAGGAGCATATGAGCACATCAAATTGTATAACGACTTTTCCCAGCTATTTCCCTTTCCTTGAACTTTGACCTTTTCAATAAATAGATGTGGAAGGAGGTGCGTTATAAAATATGTCCCAAGAAATTTTATTTTAAATATAGTTTGTGTGGTTATGATATATTTTTATGGGTGTATTAAATTTGTAAGCATTAATTTTATTTGTATTGCAGTATGCTTTATTGATTTACCAGAAAGGTGATTATTATGGTTGTTGTGATATGGTTCAGTGGTACAAACACCTCCCCATGTGAGGTTTTTGTTGTTGTTGTTTTTAATTGATTTCAGAGAGGAAGTGAGAGGGAGAGAGAGATAGAAACATCAATGACGAGAATCATTGATCGGCTGCCTCCTGCACACCCCTTACTGGGGATTGAGCCTGCTACCCGGGCATGTGCCCTTGACTGGAATC